CACTTTTCTTAGGGTACTGTTTCTTAGTTTCCTGCGCCCCGGTCAAAAAATGCAAAAAAAAAAAAAAAAAAAAAAAGAGACTCTATTGAGGGGAACCTGTGGGATGGGCCAGGAGTTGTCAAATGAAGGAAATGGGGTCACTCCTGCATCCTCCCATACTGAAGGATGGTTCCTCCCCTGTAAGATCCATTCACATCAAATTTGGAAAAAGGGTCTTTGCAGATGTTAATCAAGTTAAAGATCTCGAGAGGAGCTCCTGGACCACCTGGGTGTCTTTTTATGACATACCCAGAGAAAGTCCTATGATGACAGAGTCCAGGAATGCCTGGAGCCACCACAAATTGGAAAAGCAGGAAGGATTCTCCCTTAGAGCAGAGAGCATGAGGCCCTACTGGGACTCTCCTTTTTCAGATTTCTAGACTGTTGAGAGTAAATTTCTATTGGTTTAAGCCACCAAATCTACAGTAACTTGTACGGCAGCCACAGAAAACTAGTGCACACCCCAATGTTTGCTTTTAAAGCTGCCCTGACCACCAGTCTTTGATTCCTGGCTAACTTGCCTACTGAAGTCACTATTGAGATAGGTAGCTGGGCACCCGAGACCATAATAGGCTGTTTCTGTAATGTGGAGAATGGAAAGGAATGAGGAATGATCACATACTGCCTGGAGGGCCCAGCAGTTCTGAGACACTACAGCCTGCATGTACTAATTCCCGCAACCCTGCAGGCTGTTCACTGGTGTTACTATGACCATTTGCACAGATGAGGAAACTGAGGCACAGGGAAGTAAAATGACTATCCCAAGGACATTTAGCTAGGCAATGGCAGAGCCATGATCTGAAACTTGTAGTGCCAGAGTCAATCTGTACCAAACTGCCGTCAGAAAAATACAGAATCAGCCTTTATTGACCTACCCTTACTTGCCATTAACCCGTTGGTGAACTTTATTCCAACACACAGCAACTATTTACCTCTTTTGGTCATTAAATATACTTGAAAGCCCAATTTTTCTTTTTATTTTTGAGAGTAGCTTGTAGTGAAGTGATCATAGCTCACTGCAGACTTCAACTCTCGGGCTCAAGTGATCCTTCGATCTCGGCTCCTCAAGTAGCTGGGACTACAGGTATGTGCCACTGTTCCATGAAGGGCTCGTATTTTTTAATTTAAATTTTTTTTTTTGTGGAGACTGATCTCACAATGTTGCTCAGGCTGGTCATGAATTGCCTCAGCTTCAGAAAGTGCTGGGATTCCAAGTATGAGCCACTGAGTCCAGCCCCAAACCCAGTTTTCCTGTGTTCTGTTCAGTGCTATTCATGTATTTTTAAAATCTAGACTTAAATGCTTTCAGGCTGAGCTGAATGGCTGATTTGAGGCCCGTTTTAAGCCTGGGAGGGATGTCCCTGAAGCATTCTCTTAAATCCCTTCTTCTGGGCTCTGAGAACATAAGGATAAGACTGAGAAATCCTGTCTCATTTTTACTCCTGGGAGTCAATGCAAGCCACAGGTGATTCTAGAGAGAAAGGGTGACTCAGAGGAGAGCAGGAAGTCACTTTGTAATGAACTTGATCAAAGAAGCAATGGAGTGGCTAATACCACCACAGTGCACACTGCCTTGATTCAAGCCTAGCTCTGTTAGTTATTAGCTGTGCATTTCAGCAAGCATTTAACATTT